GGAACCCAAGGGTGTGTCTCTGCTGTCCCTTGGTCCTGCCAAGAATGTTCTCACCTCTAGCTCTTCTCTCAAGCATCTGTATGGCTCGCTCCTTTATGTCCTTAAGCCCTCTGCTTGTGGCCTTCTTTGGCCACCCTATAGAAAATCACATCGCCCCACATGATCCCATCCTACTGGCTTCCCTGTTTTTTTCTCTTTTTCTCCCTTTTTCTTCTTTTCATGTGTTTGTGTATGATGTATGTGTTTTCATGTGTGCACAGAGCATGCATGCAAGTGTATGTGCATGCCCCTTTTTCTTCTTTTCATGTGTTTGTGTATGATGTATGTGTACATGTATGTGTTTTCATGTGTGCACAGAGCATGCATGCAAGTGTATGTGCATGCATGTGGAGGCCGGGGGTTGATGTCAGGAATCTTCTTCAATTGCTCTTCCACCTTTTTCTTTTGAGGTAGGGTCTTTTAATCAAACCCAGAGCTCACCAATATGGCTTGTCTCTCTGGTTGCTCTGAGGATTCCCTGTCTCTGTCTTCTGGGGTTGGAATTACAGGTGGGCCACCACACCCACCTGGCATTTATGTGAGCTTTGGGGATTTGAACTCCAGACCTCATGCTTTCACAGTGAGTGTCTTTCAAACTTTTTTATTATTAATTTTATTTTATGTGTATGAGTGCATTGCCTGCATGTATGTAAGTGTACCCATGTCATGCAATGCCCGTGGAGGTGAGAAGAGGGTGTTGGATCCCCTGGAACTGGAGTTATGGACAGTTGTTAGCCACCATGGGGGTGCTGGGAATCAAACCCAGGTTCTCTGCAAGAGCAGCCAGTACTCTTAACTGCTGAGTGCTTTAATGCTAAGCCATCTCCCTATGCCCTCTTCCTGTTTTATTCTTCTTCATATCACTAACCACTTGAAATATAATGGTACTTGCTTATTTCTTTCTTTTTAGTCTTCTCCCATTGAAAGTTGTGTATGCGAGGGACTCCCACTGACTAACCTCTCCTGCCTCTGTATTCCTTGCAACTAGGCTATTGTCTGGCCCAGGGAAGGTATTCAATAAATATCTGTTAAAATAACAAAAAAAAATTATCATTAAACTTCAAAATTATCATTCACTGCCATTGAAATCTCACAATCTTATCTGGAATCATCACATTCAAGGTCTAAAGAATACACTGTTCTTTTGTTGAAACAAAATGCTTGTTTTCCAAGATGTAAGATGTAAGGGTGTACATATTTTCCAAGATGTTTTCCAAGATGTAAGGGTGTACATGTAGCAGTATAAATATACAACATAACTTTATATCACTATAAACTTTTACAGGACACAGAATATAACACACTAAATGTCCATTGTATAATAATAAGAAATTCTGAGATTTCAGATTTCAGATACTATGCCTAACTTACTAGAACAAATTGCTCATATGGCCAAAATGCATTGACTACTTGTGATGGGTGTGGTGTTGGGCAAAGTGCTATATTTGAGTTTTGAAAAGTCATCTTTACCTGTCAATGTAAAAGCCATATCTTGATATAATAGATTTAAGAAAAGCTCACCTTTTAAAAATCGTTGTTTTTCCTCCATTATTTTATTACAAGCTTTATTTATTTAGTTCAGAGATTTCCATAGAGAAAGTACTCATGGAAAATCCTTTAAGTGGAGATTGTTATTCAGACATTTTAAAGGTAAAAATTCTTTTCATAGAGATTAAGGGACAGACAAACCACTGAATTTAGCAATATTAAATGATCACTATTACAAAAACTGCTTAAGTGATTGTCAAAATCTAATTATACAGGGTTAGTTGTTTCCACTACAAATTCAAACGTAGAGGCCCTCCTTGCTGGGTGAGTTTTCTCTCACGCCAATGGACTCCCTGCTAGATTTCCACAATGCCACAAGTCTTTATCATTCTGCTCCTAGGCTCAACCTGCCTTCATCCTTTCTGATCTAAAAGACTTTGCATGCCCGTCTCTCCACCTCAACATTTGCATGTTTTGTCTCAAGAGTCATGCCTCTACCCAGTATGCTCCCATCACCTGGAAAGCTGTCAACTTGGCCTCCTCCATACATTTTCCATCTCTTTTTCTCCTAATTGGTTCATATCCTAGCCTTATAAAGTAGGCTTCAGTTGCCTGTGCTAAACTCATTCCTTCCTCTGCTCTACCATTCCTTTGATATATCACTCTTCCTTCTCCTTCACTACCTAACTTATTAAAAAGCAAGTCTGTTTTCACCGCTGGCTGTTCTCTCAATTTCTTCTTCTTTGTATTCCTTCTGGCCCTGCAGGTCAACTTTCAAATATCTTTTACTTCCAAGTCTTCTGAAAAAACAAACTTTTCAAGAGGCCCATAATAGAAGCGAAAAGCATTAATGTTACTTTAAGTGAAGACAAGGTATCCATGAAAAACAAATGGCTTGCTGCAGGCTGCAGCAAAAGGTACAACCATTACCAGACTGAATTACAGATTCAAACTGTGCCCTTAACCTCACTAGGCCAGACATTAGAAAAGCCAGGCATGGTATTAAAAAAACTATCCCATTTACATAAGAAAGGAAATAACTAATTCCCAAGTCATCAATTGTGCTGCGATGTAATTCCTCTTTCTATAATCATGCTATTTACCTTGGTAATTCCCAATGTTCTTAAACTTTCTTGTAAGAAATTTACATCTCTGGTTTTACTTGCAAATACAGAAATGACAACTTTAAAAAAATAAATTAAAAACTTCTTAGAATGGCTTTTCCATTCTATAAGAATGTTCTTCAGAAAGAGATATGACAGAACCAAGGAAAGAGTAAAGATCTAAAATTCAAACAATCATTTTTACAAATCTAACCTTAAATTTTTGATGAGATTTAAGAACCTCAATTAAAATTTTAGAAGGTTTGACTTGAAGACCATGAGGAAATTTACTTTATGTTGACAGCTTCCAAAGCACCTGGTCCATATGTCATCTTTAATTAAAAGAAGATAAATGAGAAAGAAAAAAAAATCACATGTGGATAGCCTTAGTTTTGTTATTTTCAGTGTATCCATGGGATCATTCAATCTTTTCCCAAAGAACAAAATGAGTTAAAAAAGAAAAAGAAAAGAAATCCTTGGCGTCAACTGTACATTTGTCTGTACAGCCTTGATTACCACAGGCTTTTCAAAGAGGACCCAAGCAGCCCATGTGGATTCTGACGGCAATGCAGTAGAATTTAAGATATTATGACTAAAATATGTCCCAAGGTATAATCTAGTCATACAGTTTTATAAAGAAGTACAAAGATATTAGCATAAAGGTACATACCCTCCTATAGATGCCGCAGGAGAAATACTGACACCAGGGAATTGAGCTGCAGTGAACACATATGAGTCTCTCTCTCTCTCTCTCTCTCTCTCTCTCTCTCTCTCTCTCTCTCTCTCCCTCCCTCCCCCCCCCCCCCCCACTGTCTCTCACACATGCGTGCCCACACACAAAGTTCATCAAATGGCTTACTAGGTAATTTCATATTTTTCTAAGCTTTCCCTCCCTCCCTCCCTCTCCCCAATCCTACAAAGCCTATCTTTATTACTAAGAGAAAATTAAACATCTATAGAGTCTGAATGCTTTTCTATATCCTGGTTCCTAGACACAGCCTGAGAGCCCCACATTTGCCAAATTTCCTTCTAGTGGGCTGCACTGGTTGGAAGGCAGGAACTTCCCTGACCGGAGATCTTATCACCTTGGGTCTGGGATGATTTCAATTCCTAGATGATACATGGGACCACAGCCTTTGTGAAAGCTGGGAGAGTGGATGTTACCAGCAGGAAAAATAAAGTATCCCATTTCCCAAGGAAAAGCACCCAAGGGGACAGCAGATGCTTTTTAGCGTAGTCTTCTTCCGCTGTATTACCCACCCCCAATCTATCCTTTTACTTTTAAAGCACCTCCACCACACACCTCTAGAGTTCATTCCAAAAGAAGCAACACAAAGACTACCCACCCTTCAGCCAAAGGTTTTCAGTGTTTAAATGCAAAAAGAGGTCTAGAGTGAAAGTTGTGGGAAGGAAGCGGAAGGTGACCATTAAACACCCTTCTCTCTAGGTTAGATACGAGATAAACAATAGAAATTGCAGAGTCAGGCAGTTCAAGATCGGTATGGAGTAAGGGCTGGCAAGTGTTAGGAAAGAGAAGGTCCCTTCAGAAGCAGGGACACCAGCAATCTCAGAAGGTATAACCAGTATCCTGTTTCCCTGCCATGTGCCCCAAAGCCACAGGCTTACTTCCACATTCCTGTCTTGAGATCAGGGAAAGGGGAAGCAAGAATCAGTACACCCAGCGGTCCACAAGCAGAAGCAGAACAGAGACTGTACTCAGACTTGAAGGGTCAAAATAACAAACGCTGTCCCACAGTGCTAGCTGGTGACATCAAGCCAGGAACCGGCAGATCGCTGGATGTGGGGCGCAGATTGGGGAGCGTGGCTACAACTGCACTCTACACATACTTACACGGGGTTTTACAAACCCGGCCTTATCCCACTGCCTCCCTCCACACTTCACACACCAAGTCATCCTGCCCACCTCACGGTTTTTCCATCATTAGTCTTTCTCTTGGAGAGTCAGCCAGAGAGGGATCCTAGAGGGGATTCCTGGAAATGTCATCCCTCTACACCTCCGATCTGCCACCTCCATCCCTGTGCGCGCCCGCGCGCGTACACACACACACACACACACACACACACACACACACACACACTTCTGCCATGACTGTCATCAGGCCCACTCGCTGATCCCTAAGCCGAGTATCTCAGCACACACCGGACACCAGGCATCTCTTCCCTCCACACCCTTCCCCAGCCTCGCTGGCTACAAGCATTGCCCCCCGGACGTCGCCTATCTTCCCGGCTCTCCTGCACTATTGTTCCACGCAGCCCTCTCGCGGCCAGGACCACCCTTCCACGAAGACCAGGGCTCCGTCAGGGGCGGCGTCGGCGCCCCGCATCCCCAGCCCGCCCTGGCGGTGGTACCTTGCCTGACAGCTGGGTCCGCGGGCCCGCGGGAGCAGGCGGCGCTAATGACAACGAGGGAGCCAAGCCTGGGAATAAAGCTCCGCTCCAGCTGCTCCAGCCTGCAGCGCCACCATCTTCTCCCGCCGCCGCAGCTGCTGCCTGGACCGCAGCCGCCCGCGCCCCGCTCGGCTCGGGCTCAGCAGCCGCTCGGGCACCTCCGGCCGCGGCCCCACCCCCTGCCCGCCGCCCTC